ATCGAGGAAGTTGTTCTTGACAACTAGTCCTGCATCCTCTGCTTAGCTTGCCGTCTCCTCCTCCTTGCGCTCTATGTCTCACCTTGCTCACGTGCGATGTGCTGAAGTTTTGGGAGCAGAGTGTTGTGGAAATAAATCTCGTCCTTTCAGCCAGTCATGCAGAACAGGTCGACGAGAACATGGGAGGAAGAGGAGGAGGAGGAGGAGGAAGGAGGAGGATAGCCAAGGAGTGAGGAGGAGAGAGGAAGGAAGAGGAGGAAGGAGGAGGGAGAAGGAGGAAGGAGATAAGGACTAGGATGAAGCTACCTTGTCCGTCAGCTCATTATGGCGGATACGCGACGGGGCCTCGTCCTCAGCCAGCTGAATCAAGGGCTGTTTCTCGAGATCTCTCTAACAAGGACGAGCAAGGGATGTGAGCGGAGCGGAGGGGAAGGAGGAGGAGGCAACAGCAGGGAGCACCTGTACTTGCATGCAGTGATCGCAGAAGTTGCGATAGTTGACCATCTGATCAGGGCGGGAGAAGGAAGCAAAGATAGCCTCCTCCTCCTGCGGCGAGATGTACACCTGGTTCTTCACCGCCGCGCTCAGCGCTCGCAAGAACTGAGGGCGAGTGATGGCGCGATGACGCAGCCTGTCGTAGGCCTCGAAGAAAGGATCGAGCCTGACCTGAAGAAGCCTTCAGCTCAAGAGGAGCCCCCGACCCCAATCACTCCAGCGGTTCATAGCACAAATTTCCCTTTCCCCCCTCCCTTCTAAGCGCCACCGCCGCGATCAAAATCATCGTTGCAAAGGGAGAGACAGATGCATCGTCATCATCATTGGTATCATTATCAAGGAGATCGCCAGAGTCGATCTCATCAACGACGCAACATATGTCATTTTGAAGTCTCACTCTCTTCTGCTGGACATATTTTCGGATCTTCGAACAGGCCGAATCTGTCAGCTCTTCGACATCCTGTTCCTCGTCAGTGCTAAGAACAATTTTTTTGCTTCTCTGCAGCTATCTACCAGCTCCTCTTCCTCCTCTAAATGTTTTCGACCCTTCTTATCAACTAGTTCCCCTTTCCCACCTCAATCGTCATTGTCACTTCTCTGGAAATTTCGTAAAGATTGCCGTCTAAATTCAAATTCAAACATCCACCTCTCGCTTTCATTCTGCTTCCTGAATCTCTCTGCCTCTACTTTCTTCCATCCTCCTTCGCTCCTTCGCTCCTACCTTCATGGGTTCGATTATTCCATCGACGTACAAACCACCCAGTGATTCCTCTATTCATCCATCTCTTCCTCATCTCATCTACTGCGCTTCCTCTAGAGATCATGCCGTATCTCTCTCTCCCTTTCCTCCCTCTCCTCCCCTCCTCTTGCTTCCCGCCTCTCCCCCGATCCTCGCCCATCTTTCCCATCTCACCTCCATTGTGTGTCGGCCGTTGAAACCTCACAAGCACTACCCCACCTGTTCGGAAATTTTTCACCACCTACCCCCTCACATAAAAGGAAGACTTGTACACCCCTCATTTAGACAGCAATTTTCATATGAAAATACCCCTATGATAGAAAACTTGGTGACCCCCACCCGTGCGCAATACTCCCTCCGTGATCATCTGAAGTCAACCTCTACCCATACCAAGTCTATGAAAACCACCCGTGGTCAAGCGAGGTACAGAGAAGGTGGGTAGTAAATATATTGGGGTACTTGATAAAATTACACGGGTACTCAACAGATTTATAGTACTACTTTGAAGGGAAATCACCGGTGTTATAATTATTCATGGGGTAGGGGGTGAATTGACATGGGGTAGCACTACCCCCCTTTTCCTGACATAAGCATACGATTTGGGGGTGAGTTTCGATGGGGTCAGTGGGACCATACTGAAGGCGGGGTAGTAAGTGGTCAAAATAGGGGTGGAAGGAATAGGTTTGGAGGAGGGGTAGGGGTATAGCTTGCAAAAGATGGCAGGGATCCGCGCAAAGATCGCCATGGTGGCGGTGGCGGCGACCATGGCGACAAGAACAGAGGTATGAAGATGTAGAAAGAAAGTCAGAAGTTTTTCTGTTTGATGTGATGATGAAAATGTTGCGGCTGAAGATGGATCAACATGTCATAGATAGCATCTTAGCATTTGTCATTGATCGACTCTGAACAACACGGCAAAATTGTTGGATATGAAGAGAGGAGGACCAGGAGGAGGAGGAGGAGGATCCAATCATGGAATGAGAATATATTGATACATAGACAGAAGCGAACATGAGTAGGGGTAGAGGTCATTTTCGGAATGCACAGGCACTTTGAAGAGATGTTGCATTTTGTGACGTTTCACTCGAGAATGAAAACGAGGTTGATGTATTGATAAGGGAAGTTCAAGTTAGGATTCAGAGTGGATATTTTTGAGCATGAAAGTAATCCTGGTCTTTCTCTTACCTCCCCTTGTCCTCTCTATTCGCAGGCATTCCTTGCCCCTCATGGGCTCTCGCCCATGCTTGCCAAGTCGACCGCGTCCTTCAAGTCCGTTCGCCCTGCTCTCAGGGAGTCTCGACAGGGGCACGTCGCCCTCAGGATGGGCTTCTTCGATGCCTTCAAGAGCGCGACTGAGAAGCTCATCGGAGCAGAGGAGGCGAACCTTCCCAACATGGCCCCCCAGCTCACGTCGGTCAGCACCGGCCCCCTGACCTGGACTGCGGGAGTGTCGGAGATTGCGGACCCCCGTCACGCCATGGAGGATGCGTGGTTTGCGGGCGACTACGACTATGGCGTGTTCGACGGAGTTACAGGAGCTCAGAAGAGCGAGTTCGGAGATCTGTACTCCTACCAGCTCTCTGGGACTACCTACGGCATTCTTCAGCGCCAGAGGGAGCAGAAGAAGGCTGTAAGGCTACTGGCTATCACCTCCTTCTCTCACTCTGCTCAGGTCGATCCTCTGGTGGCCCTTGACGGCGCCTACAGTGCTCTCAACGACGCCCTGACCGTAGGATCTTCTACCGCCTGCGTTGTGAGCGAATTCTGTGCTCCCTTCCTCCTCCTCCTCGTTCACTTTGACGTCCAGGTGTCTGTCGACACTAAGTCAGAGCCAGGGTACACCATCCTCAAGGGAGCGAACGTGGGAGACTCAGGTGATCCTGCGGGACCTTGCCGCGCCCTATCTCCCGCCATGACGGATGTGTTGAAGGCATTAAGGTGGTCCGCAAGGGGCAGGATGGGCAGATGAAGGTGGTGTATCAGACTGTCCCGCAGGTAGGAGGAGAAGGTCTCGCGTGCCTGTACAAGCTTGACTTGAGCTCAGATGCACTACTTCAACTGCCCCTTCCAACTTGGAGGCAACAGCCCAGGTCTCTCTCTCCCCTCCCCTCCGTCTTGCCGGTGCTCGCAGCTGATGCTTTGAAACAGACACCGTCGACCTCGCTACGAGAATCCGTGTTCCCCTTGCTTCAGGAGACGTATGCTCGATCTCCAGTGCGCGGATGGACTCTGAACCTCGCTTGCAGATCGTCATCATCGCCAGCGATGGGTTGTACGACAACGTGTACGACAGTCAAATCATCGACCTCCTCGAAGCTACTGAGGGCCAGGGACCCAACGCCATGGCACAGGTCAGTAGATGGAAAGGATGAGCGCTTGCCGCTCTGACGTGCCATGTGCCAGGCCCTTGTCGGCTATGCTCGCCAGGTGCAGGAAGACCCACAGGTATGAAACGACAAGGAAGAGAGGAGAAGGGAAAGAGGTGGCGGAGTAGCGGTGAGCTGGTAATGCATCGTAGTAGTAGTAGTAGTAGTAGTAGTAGTAGGAGGAGGAGGAGGAGGAGGAGGAGGAGGAGGAGGAGGAGGATTCGCGATGAATATTTTGTCCAGGTGGTCGTTCCTTACGGACTCGAAGCTCAAGCGGCTGGAAAGGTACCTGACCGTCTGTCTTATCACTTTCTACTCCTCACACGTCTATTCTTGATGGCTGACAGTCATGGACGGGCGGCAAACTTGATGACACGGCGGCGATTGTGCTTCAGTTTAACTGAGGGTCCTCAGTCTAGTGTCGTGATACAAGTTAAAGGTGGTGAAAACACTCAAAGCTTTTTATCAAACGAAAGGGGAAAAGCAGGTTGCCTCCTCCAACAAGGAGCCAGCAGGAACGCGCGATCTCGGTTGTCCTGCATTCTTATCCTCTAACGCATCTAGAGGTAGCCGATAAGCAGAGCAAGGCCTAGCGTCCTCCTTATGATCCATACACAACCAGAGGCCTTGAGCTCGTTGCACCTCCAGAGCTCTCCAGTCTCTCACCCCGAGTCAAAACTTGTCTTCAGGTCTGACAGCACATGACATGCGACGAGTCTGAACATCGCCGTATTTTGCCGTCCTTTCATTTGGAAGGGGAGAGAGACTTTCGCACTGAGTCAAGAGCTCCTAGAAGCTTGGAGACGCGTTCATCGACTACTTGCAAGAAATCGTCCTGCTTTGAAGTAAGGAGCGCGCAGAGGTCATTCCCACTCGTACCTGTGTATCCTCCTGCTTCTCATCAGGCAAGGGGTCACGATGTGGATCTTTGGACGGCCTCGTGTCTGCAGCACACGCTCAGCACGGGGAGGAGGTGAACTCAGAGTCACCTTTGGAATCTTTCTGCGATCGGTCGTGGAATCTAGAGGAGGGAATGACCTCGTCTAGCTTCTGCTTGATATCAGCCAGGTCCTGCTGGTGCTCCCACTCGGTGCGGAACGGCAACTTGGCCTTCAAGATTTGCCTGCCGTCTGTCACACAACCATGACACGAGATCTTATGCTCACCGCTCGCTGCTTTCCTCTACTGTGCTCCAGGGGCGCCTTCGAATGCTCGAGATGTTTGACACGGACGGTGAGCTGCAATGAGTCATCAACGACTAGAGCGACTTCTGACGTGCTTTCTCACTCTCACCTGAAGAATGACGGGTAAGTCTCATGCTTGGAGTTGTGTCGCGGATCAGAGAAGTATGCAAACTTCTCCTGCGTCCGGTCGCCATGATGATCTGGCGTGCGAGCGAACTTTGCCTTGAGGTCAGCTTGAGTGTCGGCCTGAGGGGAGCAGGTCAGGAGCAGGAAGAGGCGAGCGTCAGCGAACCAGAGCTCGCTCGAAGTGGGACAAGATGGTAGCGCGATGCTGACTCTGTTGATGAGAAACCTCACGAAGACTCTCGAGCCTCTTCATGACGTCTGTTTCCTGTCGACATGGGTCAACGGTGGTGGTTGATGCGATGCAAAACAAACACATTAACTTACGTTCTCAAACTCCAAGAGCTTTGACTGCAGATCAGAACCATGATGAGCGTTTTGAGATCCATTCGCCTTGTCAAGCAATCAGGTCAAGTCATCTCATATCTCGCTGACTCATTCCTCGTACCTGAAATACAGATGAACCCAGCTGACTTCGCAGCTCCTTGACTTCAAGCTCGATCAAGGAGGAGAGACTAGTCGCGTCTTTCATCTGTTGGTACAGCATACGACAGCGTCACTCGTGCGACCGTCAGTCAACAGTGATCTCACGAGCTGAGAGAGTTGATCCAACTCTGACTTCTCCACGAGCATGGACGCTGACTGGCTTGCCTTGACCTCACTCCTCGCCCCTCTCTTCTCCTTGAACAGCTCCTTGGCTACCCTGTGACATCCGCCATCACCTCCAGCCGCCATCTCCCTCCAGGGTCCTCGCTCACGTGTAGAGTTCGCTCATCGGGTTGAAGGCTTGCATCAGCAGCTCCTGGCTCAAAACCTTGGCTGACTTGGCGGAAGGGCCGACAGCATCGAGCATCGTGACAAGAATGGCGTCGTCTTCCGCCTTGACCATGATCTGATCTGTTTGACACTGCTCCTGCTCGAGTTGTACGGTCACAACAGGCATGCATCACAACCGTATGACTGACCTCGCACTGCAAGGCGTGAGCGATCATGGTCGACATCTCGTCTTGTTTGCTCAGCGCATGCTCTTTCGATGTGATCCCCAGGTATTTTGAGTCCAATGCTATCACTATGCCGGTGTATCGGATGGGCCCTTTCCTCGCCTGCTGGTCGGAGGCGGCTCCTCTTCCCTATATCCCATGCAGGTCAAACCGTGCACGCACCTCAGAGGGAAGGGAGGGGAGAGAGAGGGAGGGGAAGGGTTGGGAAGGGAGGGGAGAGGGAGGGAAGGTAGAGCTGACAAGTGTTTGGAAGTGGAGGAGGGGAGGAGCAGTGCGGGCGCATGAAGTTTTGCCTTCACCTTGGACGCCTCCATGTCGTCGCTACGACCGAAGCTACCAGCAGAACTCCGATCCTGATCCGGCGAAGCCTCCGATCCCAGCGGCCCTCATCCCCTTCCGAGTCTGGCGCTGATGCCGCAGCTGATGCCGGCCCTGATACCGGCCCTGTTACCGGCCCTGTTGCCGGGGGGGCCCTGATGCAGGCCCTGGCATATGCCCCTCAACCGAGCCGATGAGCGGCCAGCACTGCGGAAGCGGCGCAACCGTCCGGCGTCTGAACACGTTGACACGGCCCGGTGTACGGTCGGACTGAGGCTTTCAACCGTCCGAGTGACTAGTTGCCCGGGTCCGACCGGGTCACAGTCACCGGCCCGGCGGGCCGCGCCGAGCGCGGACTCGGTGACCGGCCCGGCCGCGCCGGCCCCTCTCACTGAGTCAGCGGCCATGATCGGGCACACCGGGGCCGTTGTGGAGCCCAGCCATAGATGTAACGGTCGGAGTTTGATGCTGGAAGGCTGGGCAAGGGGAAGGGAGGGAGGAGGGAGGGAGGAGGGAGGGAGGAGGGAGGGAGGAGGGAGGGAGGAGGAAAGGTTGTAGGAGGGAGGGAAGGCAGAGAGAGGGAGGGAGCAGGGTGAGAGGAGCAACAATGAGAGAATTAGGGAGAAGGAGAGGAACTTAGAAGGGCAGCCATGAGCAATCATGGTTGAACATCTGTTCGACAACATTCCAGGTCACCAGACATTCAAAGTAGGAGTCTGCGAGTGCTAACAGAAATTCTGAGAGCCCGATGAGATGTATTGTTCCACATGTTCGAATTACCAGATGGCACCATGTCACGATAGAGATAAGATGGGATAGTTAAGAGCCGCACAGTCAAACCCTGATCAAAGCCTTCATACTGCTGAGGCCTCTGAAGTTATCCTGACGTTTCTTTGATGATCTCCTCATTCCTTGTCAACATTCTCCTTCTCCTCTGTGAATAGAAAGATGATGAGTGTTATCAGTGCCATCAGTGAAGGAGCCGTGAAGCTTTGACCCAGAAAGGATGCAGTCAGTCAGCAAGCAGCGGCTCAAGTCGAACACGCTTGGACTCCCCGAGCTTGCTCGCCTGGAGGACATCTTTGTTCGGAGCTTTGAAGAAGCGGTGGAGAAGGGAGTGCCCGACGATGCGGCAGGTACGGAGAGAAGTATTCTGCCCTGAATTTCTACCCTCTGACAACTCTCAAGGGTTGAAGCGGCTGCGGACGGACGTTGAGTCAATCTTGACAGAAGCGAATAAGCGATCAAAGTTGTTAGCCATGGAACTCACGAAGATCTACGACATGGTTGAAGATCCGCCTGAAATTGAAACGATCGACGATGAGGTCTTGCTTCAAGCGTGGAAGGATAAGGTGAAGGCGCTTGACAGCATGTGCGCCTGCCTCATGTTGCTTGCATGCCAGACGATCGCGGAGATCAACGAAGTGGAGGAGCTGGAGAAGAATCACAGAGAAGTCTCAACCGTTCAAGTCTCTTCCACCCCGAAGGCTTCAGCCGTGCGGTGAGACTGAGAGAGCTGCATGGGGACGGTCGGGCCATCCCTCACCGACGCCTGCAGGAGAGACGTAGGATCTAAAGGAGTGCCGAGATCGCAGCGAAGGAACATGATACCGTGAGACTCTCTCCTTCATCCCCTCCTCGCTCTCCCCTTCGTCCTTCCCCAGTCTCTCCTTGATCCTCTCCCTTGCCTCTCCTCATTTCTTGTCGCCTTCCTCTGTCCTCTCTCTTTCCTCCCCTTCTTTGGACCTTTCGTACTCACCCCCTCCACATGTCATGATCTTCGCTGAGCTTCACACCGTAGGTGGCCCGCTAATGTGCCTTTTATCTGGAGAGACAGTATGCGAGTTCGCTTCACTGTGAATGGACATTGAGGGGACGATACTTGTATGAAGGAGGAGGGATGGGGGAGTGAAAGGAGGAGCAGAGAAGCAGGGGGGGAGGTAAGAATGGATGTTGATGATTGGAGGGGGAGGGAGCGAGGGGAGAGCGAGCGATGGGCTGAGATTGACCTTTTTTCATTATACTTATATCAATAGAAGTTGTTCTGATTTACATTGATTGCGAGCTGTCCTATGGAGGGGATAAGAATTGCGTACGAACGAGAAAGATTAGATCTTGATGTTCATCTTGAAGATGGAGACTGTCCTGGTCGACCTGCCGCTCCTCTCAGCTCTTCCTATCCTCCGCCTCTCCGCCTCTCCCTCCCTCCTACCTCGGCTGTGCGGGCACCGTCGCCGAAAATGCCGGGCGATTCATCTGCAGGATAATATGAGAAGGATGTTGCAGGCGAACAAGAAACGATCTGACCTTCTCTTGGAACTCTCTGAACTTCTTCCGCTCCTCCTTCTCAATCATCTGCCTGTTCCCGAAGAAATCCTCCTTGTACTCGGGGAATTTGTGCATCAGTCCTCCTTTCTTGGTCCCCAGCGTTGCCCACAGTCCGGGTCTGCAACACAACGGCGAGTGAGGGGCTAGGAGATGGCATGTACAAGGTAAACAGAGCTTGGGACAAGGGCAAGGGAGGGCGAAAGTTTGATGGGAAAGAAGCGACTGAACGCACCCAGCTTTCTTGGAAGGGTTTGAAGGCCGGAAGGGCTCGCGGGAGGCTTCAGCCTCTGAGACAACTCTGCCGCTCTCCGTCACTCACGCCCTGACTCTCCTAGTCCCTTCACCTTCGCTTCTTCTCCATGTAGGGATCGGCTACCCACTCAGGATATGGATTGATCTGCCATCCAAGCATGAGCCAGAACGGAGGTGGACGAGGGGGAAGAGGAGGGAGGCGAGGAGGGAGGCGAACGGAGGAGGGTAACGATAGGCAGTTTACCTGTCCGCCGTAGCTCTTCTTGTCTCCAACTTTCGTTCCCACCCACCGGCCAGGACCTAGAAAATCAGCCGGTGAGCTCCCTTGGTTTCAGCCCTTGCCGTCTCCTCTCTCTCACCTCCATGGAACGCGTAACTTGCCGGCCTGAAGGGAGCATCGCTCACGTTCTTGGGAGCTCTCTCCCGCTCCTCTTTGCGCCTTTCTCTGCTGGGATTTCAGATGCTCCAGTCACATGCAGAACCAACGAGAAACTCGCCTGGCTCCATCGTAGGGATCGGCCGCATAGAAATAGCAACTTTGCTGGATCCACTGACGCCTTTCTCCAGCGTTCTGAGGGACTCCGATAGTGTTGTTGGCGAAGCCGAACCCTCCGCGCTTGATTGGGTTGGTGACGATGTTGGGAGGATCATGATGAACGTCTGATCGCTTCAGCTTTTCCATCGTTCCTTGCGGAACCTGGGGACTCTTCATAAGAGGCACTGCACTGAAGGAGCGAGCGAGCGATGGAGGGAGGGAGAGGAAGGGAAGGTGGCGGCAGCAGACAAAGTGGAAGAGGATTGGTGTGCAACTCACGTATTCGATCCTTCCACCGAAGGGAAACGCTGGAGTTTTCGCCCCAATGTAGTTGACAGTACCATAATGACTTCCTCGGTTACCCAACCCGGTTCCTCCCGCCTTCTTGGAAGGGTTGGCCGGCCTCCATGGGTTTTCCTGTCACACGAGGCGTCACATCCGAGACGTAGGAAGGCAGAGGCTGACAGATATCTGAAGTTTCTTCTTAGCCAGGTTTTCTTGCCTTAAGATCAAACGTTAGTTTTCGACACTTTCTGCTCTCCGGCACTCACGCTTGTACTTTGTCCAATGTCGTGTAAGGGCAACCAACTCCACAGCCCACGGCGTTGTACTTGGAATCGAAGTATCCGTTGATCATGCTATCGATCCATATCAGCTCCAACGTCGACGTCTCCATCACGCGCCAACCTGTACTTGCCCTTCTTCGAGATGGTACCCAGGAGTTGCAACCCCTCTGCAAACTAAGTCATAACAGCAGCGCCCGATGGCAGAGGGTCTACTTGATCGCTCGTCTTTGTTGCCCTTGTTGTCATAAGGCTCTCCGATGGATGTGTAGGAAGGTTCGCCGAAGTATCTAGCAGGAGATCGTCAGTCCCATGGCGAGTTATTGGCTCAAGTTTCATCATTACCCCAGTCGCACCAAAGCAGCTTTTCTCTGCTCTGTCGACATTCTGGCTGAAAGGTGGAGACTGAGCCCATTGAAAATGTCAGTGACTAGACCAGATCACATTGACAAGCTCCTTGCTCAGTTGAGCTTTCCTAGAGATTCTATCAGAGTCAATCATGCTCTAAAACGACGGTTGGAATAGTACTCTTCCGAAGTTCATCCGCCGTGCGCTTGCCATTCAACAACTCCCGCTTCTCCCCCTCTCCTCTCCTCCTCTCCTCCTCTCCTTCTCTCCTCCTCGTCTTCTCTTATCCTCTCGATCCTCGGCACAAGAGGACGAGAGGAGGAGCAGGACACGACGACATCGTCTGTCGCTGTTCGCGCCGCATGGCCGATCAACGGTTGCCGTTGACTAGATGGACCGGTACTTTTTGAGCCTATAGAGATGGTAGGGGTTATTGGAAGGGTTGTAGGGGTAAGGGTGGTCAACCGTACCCCCTCTTTCCCCAATAAGTACCCATACATTCCCCATCTCCTCACCCTCCGGTCAGGTCTACCCTAAAATTGCCCCAATTTAGTACCCCTTCTTCCCTCCCCGCTGTCTCCTGCCCCCTGCCTGCCGGGTCCCCTGCCACAACAGACTGGTCCTCGTCCTCGTCCCCCTCCTCGTCCTCCTCCCCCTCCTCGTCCTCGTCCTCGTCCTCGTTGTCAGAGGCCACAGACCGCACAGTCACTCTCTGATCGTGCTGTCTTTTCTTTTGCCTTCGTTTCTCCTCCCTCTTCCCCACCGTAGCGCTTGGCTGCTTTCGATTTGTGCGGGCCAGTATCATGCAATACCCCCCAACCTGATCCTCCTCTTCTCCTCTCCTCTCTGTCCTCCTCTTTGTTCCAACCTTCTTATTTCCATCGAATTTCAGCTCGCTCGGCCAAGCTTGCCCCCCTTTATCTGACCAAATTTGTTTGTGCTTTTGCGCTCATCGAATGCGCTGAGCAGCCATGGAGGCTCTTAATTGCTTCAGTCGCATCTTCTCGCTCATTCAGACGGTCTATCGTCGCTACCTCCCGCGTTTCCTCGGGTTTGGCGAGCTGGTGGAAGTCGCAGGAAGGAGTGTGAGGATTGGGCCGGTGATCGCGGAAGGGGGTTACTCTTTCGTTCATGTAGCGTACGACATGCTGGAGCGGAGAAGAACTCTTGCGCTGAAGAGGATAGTCTGCCATGAGAGGGACGACGTGGCGCGGGCGATAGAGGAGATCGAGCTCCTCAAGACGCTCCCTCTCCATCCCAACATCGTACGATACCGATCCTCGGCACAGAGAAAGATAGCTTTGCCCGGCGGGGTGATAGCGACGGAAGTCCTGCTGCTGACGGACTTTTATCCTGGCGGCGGGTTGCAGGACGTGATGAATCGCCTGCGGGAGGAGGGGCAGGTGCTCTCGGAGCAAGCCCTTCTTCTCCTCTTCGGTCAAGTCTGCAACGCCGTTGCCCACCTGCACTCGCAGAGCCCTCCGATCGCCCACAGGGACGTGAAGCTGGAGAACGTGCTGCTGCACGGGGAGATGGATGCTTCCTCTCCTGGGAGGGTCAGGCTGGTGCTATGCGACTTCGGCTCTGCTACCACGAGGGCGCAGGTCTATGAGACCAGGAAGGACATTCTAGAGGAGGAGGAGCGTATTCAGAAGTTCACGACGCTCGCGTACCGAGCGCCGGAGATGGTGGACCTGTACCAGAGGAAGAGGATCGACGAGCGAGTGGACGTGTGGGCCCTGGGCGTTCTCCTCTACAACATGTGCTTCAACAAGTTCCCTTTCGATCCTCAGTCCCCCCTCTCCATACTCAGCGGCAGGTTCTCCTTCCCCACAGGAAAGGGCGGGGACCAGATGTACTCTGCTGCTCTCCTCGACGTAATCAGCCGCTGCCTCCTGGTGGACCCTGACGTGCGCCCGAGCGTCTTCGAGGTCCTGGACCAAGTTCGCAAGCTCAGCGGGGAGGGGAAGGCAGCTGGGGCTGCTGGTGCGGAGGATGTGGAGATCAAGATTGACCACGTGGGCGTGGTCTCGGTGTGAAGAAAAGGGGAGGAATAGCTGGGGAGACAGCAGAGGCGTCGAAAGGATCATGGGTGAAGTCCCTGTATTGCTCTAGAGCTCTGGCCTCCTTCCTATCGGTATCTACATTGCCTCCCTCTGATTCGGAATTAGTAATAGCTATCATACTTGTATGATCTGCTTCGCCTTTCACCGTCTTCTGCTCTCCCTTCCCTTCCCTCACCTGGCTCTGTCCCCTTCCCCTTGCCTCTCTTCCTCTCCTTTCACGCGCTCCTCTCCCTCCTCGATCCTATCGGATGACGAGGTCAGGACCAGCTGGCTCGCTTTCTTGGAAGAGGAAGTGTGGGAGACGGTCGGCCACCAGCCCGGCGAAGGGGCCCAGTCGTGCTTCCAGCGTCTGTGAGGACAGGAACTTTCCGTTCTTCCCCCCCGTCCCCTGCCTGCTCATCTCGCCGTCTCCTCCATCGCTCCTGTACACCAGCACATCTGCCGGGGTTGTGCTGAGCGTCAGCTCCGCCTGCTTCAGCACCATCGGCCGCCCCAGCCCGAACATGTTGATCCTGGTGCGAGAAGACTTTCCTAGCTCCTCGTACCCCTGGTCGCAAGGGACCACCCCGTCCCTGTGCCGCCTCTCCCAGTGGAGGACCAGGTCCTTCTTGCGCAGGAATGTGATTCCACAGCACCGGTGGTACATGTAGGGGTCGACGAAGGGGTTCTGCATGCTGTAGCCCGAGTCATTGGGCGCGTCCTCGTCGGCCGACTCCTCCTCCTCATCTTCTGCTGCCTTAAACCTCACCAGGAAGTCGTTGCAGTCTGCAGGCTGGAACTGGTATCTGCGATCCCTGCCCTTGCTACGCTCCTCCTGCACAAATTCCTCCTCCATCCTGTCCTCGTCGCCGACTCTCCTCCTCGCTGCCCGCTGTCGCTCTATGCCGTCATGCAGCTCCTCGGCGGTGGTGAAGGGGCAGGAGCATTTCTTGGAGCAGGCGTTTCCTATCAGGGCACACTTCTTCCAGGCTTGCGAATGCTTCAGCACCTCCCCATCGGCGATGAGCTCTGGCGGAAAGATCGAGACAAGAATCTTCTTGTGGACCTCGTAAAGGCAGGTAGGTACCTGCTCTCTCCCCCAGTCGATGTAGCGGGGGATGAAACTTACCTCTTTCTCCTCTCCGCCCCCCCTCCCCTCCCCTCCCTCCCTCTCCTTCCCGCCCCTATCATGATCCTTGTGGAAGTGGTTCTTGGGCTCTAGCGACCAGGATCGCAGGAGCCGGCATGCTTCCTCCATGTTGGGATGATTCACCCGCAGCAGCTTCACCACCTCGTGCCATCCCTTCCTCTCATCCAGCGCTGCTACTCCTCCCCGTTGTTTGACCTGCGAACAAGGAGTGAGGGGCAGCAGGGCGAGGAGGGAGGAAGAGGAAGAGGCGGGGACGACATTGAAGTGCGGTGATGAGAGAAATGGGAAAGAGGAAGGAGAAGAGGAAGGAGCTGGCAGTGGTAGCAGTTGTGGTTATCACAAGAAGGAGAGGGAGGAAAGGTTGCAAGCCGGAATGGGAGAAAACGAGAAATGAAGGGGAAGGAGGAAGGGAGGAGGTACACAAAAGAGGTGAGGAGGAGTGCAGGACGAGGATGAGGGCGGTGGAGGAAACAAATTGGATGATGATGATGATGATGATGATGATGATGATGATGATGATGATGATGATGATGATGATGATGATGATGATGATGATGATGATGATGATGATGTGGAGGAAGAGGAGGAGGAGGAGGAGGAGGAATAGGGGAGGGGTGAGGGGATTTAGGGGGGAAGCGTACAAATCTTAGCAAGTCTCTCTTGGCGATATAAGAGCCATCTTCTCTAAGTCGAATCTTCTTGAGCACGTGATGATCGTCCCTGTTCATCCAACTGCCTTCCGTTGACGAGTGATGCGATGACAAGTGCGAGTGACGGGAGTGATGACCGTGCTTGGCTTTTCACCACCAATGTCAGCGAAATCCTCCTCCTCCTCCTCCTCCTCCTCCTCCTCCTCCTCCTCCTCCTCCTCCTCCTCCTCCTTATCCATTCTCCTTCTCCCTCCTCTTCCTCTTTCCTCACTTCTCTTCCTCTTTCATCCCTTCCCCCTCCCTCTACCTCCTCTTCTTCCCCTCCTGACAGTCTCCTTCTCCCGTACCCTGGTTACCCTCCCCCCCCTCCCCTCCTCTTACCTTCTCGGGGGTACTCTCTCTCCACTATTTCCTCCATTTCTCCCATTGTCCTTATCTTCGCCTCCAGCCCAGCCCGCAGCATAGCAGCGTATCGATGCCCCCACCACTTGCTGCCCATCCTTAGCAGCCACTCGCTGCAGTAGAGGGGCACGGGGCTGATCTCAGGGTCCGGCACCTGCTGAGTGGTGAGCGAGGGAGGGATCACGAGTAAGGAGGAAACATGCGAGACAAGGAGAGGAGTGGAGAAGGGATGAGAGAGGAGGGGAGAGAGGAGGAAGGGACGAGAGAAGAGGGGAGAGAGGAGGAAGGGACGAGAGAAGAGGGGAGAGAGGAGGAAGGGACGAGAGAAGAGGGGAGAGAGGAGAAGAGAGAGGCAAGGTTGAAGAGAGGAGAGAGGAGAGGGAGAAATAGGCGAGCGTGAGAGTAGGAAGGAGAGGAGTAGGAAAGGAAAAATGGCATAAGTGGGAGGACGATTATAACCATGGCGTCGAATTCATCGCCGTCCTCGAAAATGATGTGAAACGACCTCTTGTCCTTGCACTGGCTGAAAATCAGAACCATGTATGGCTAGGTGAAGAAGACGATGAAAGGGGAGAAGATGGGCAAGTGCATCATGGAGAGGAGAAGAAGAGAAAACAAGCTTCGTACACCAGATAGCACCATGAGGAGAAGCAGGAGGAGCTCAAGAGGAGCGGAGGAAGCGTTGAGGGAGGAAAGGGGGAGGGAGGAAGAAGGAGTGAGGAGTGAGGAGTGGAAAAGGAGGAAGGAGGGAGGAGGAGGGAGGAGGGAGGAGGGAGGGAAGAGGAAGGAACCTCGCTCGCGTTCTCGTATACTATGATGCCGAGGTAGTGGAAACCATCGTCGAACAGCGCACGGATGTGACATCCCGGCCTCATTTCATCCCACGAGTCAAGTCCCAGCGGCAGCCTGCAAACTTCCTTCACCTCTGCCGACAGCAGGAGGCGGGTGGATACCTCAAGTCTCCCGCAAGGTTGTAGAGACCCGTCGGCGGTGCCCTGTGCATTTCGTAGGGGTAAAAATTTCTCTCCACCTCCTGCCACAAAGAAAATCTCACCACCACCAAAACCACCAGCACTTCCTCCTCCTCCTGATCCTCCTCTTCCTCCTGCATCTGATCCTCTTCCTCCTGCTTCTGATCCTCCTCCTCCTCCTCCTCCTCCTCCTCCTCCTCCTCGTTCTGCTTCTCATCTTCCTTCTGCTCTTGCTCTTGCTCCCCCTGCCGCACCGTCAGCCCGTCGTCCAAGAGCAGCCGAGCTGTCTGATTGTCGCTCAAGATCTTGATGACGCTGCATCTTCTCCATCCTCCCTCCTCCTTCAGCTCGAGTCTGCATCCCATGTACAGCGGGTCAATACTGTCGTACAGGAAATTTTTGTGGACTTTGTGACGTCCCAACTTGACATGCAGCTTCTGTTCACCGCCCACCAGTCAGTTTATGGCATTCTATTCTGAAATGAAAGAGACGGCGATGGTGATGGTGGTGTGGTGATGTTTATCATGCTGCTGGTCGAGATACGAGGAGGACGATGATTATGTTGGTGACTATGTCAATGGTGGTGGTGGTGGTGATGATGATGATAATGATGATGACGTTGACGGCATTGTTGTTGGTGTTCTGACTCACCTTTTTCCTCAAGGAGTTCAAGTTCTGCGCAGGCTCGGAGGCCGTTGATCCCTTGGAGGGAGAGCAGCTTCTTGGTTGACTCTTCTTGGACGTCTCACTCCTCCCCCTCTTGCGCTGCTGCTCGTCAGCTACAAGCATCGACAAAACACCTCTGCACCTTGTTGGGCGCGAAGATTTCGTCGGACTGCACGAGGAAGACAATGCGTCAGGGGGAGTGGGAGTGGGAGGAGGAGAAGAAGGTGGGAGGAAGAGTAGTGGGAGGAGGAGGAGGATGAGGAGGAGGGAGGACAGACCTCGAAGGCTTCACAGTCAGACTCATGAAAGCTTATGTTCGTCCGGGAACATCTTGAGCTGCTCATATCAACATCTCCTTCAGGGCTCATGAGAAAGAAAGCATGCGTGTATAAACCTGCGCTCTCCCTGGGACGTCTGCTGCGCTGATTCTCCCTCCCCCCCCTCCCCCTCCCTTCCTCTCCCCTCCTTCCTGGCCTTCTTCTTCGGATCAGACCGCCGCTCCTTCCTGCTCAAACATCATCCTCCCTCTTCCACCCCTCGATTCCCCGTCACCGCTCAGTTGACTTGGATGGTTTTGATGTCGAGGCTGCAGCTGCCGATGAAGACTGTCGCTGCTCGTTGTACTTCCTCAGCTTCTTTATCGTCTTCGCATCTGCAAGATACTGCCAGACTGTATTTTCATCGATCACTTCTGAGAAAATCCCGTCTACGTATTCGATCTTGTGCAAGCACCCGAACTGTCCATGACTGTCGTGCTGAGGTGTGGAGATGAAGTCCAGCACTCTGCCTTCGTACCACTCATCGTCATCCTCCCAGTACAGCTTCACTCTGCTCCCTATCAGCCAAACTCCTCCTCTCTGGTTCTCTTTGCTCGGGAATTTCCACTCTGCTACCTCTTCTTGCGCCGGAGTGAAGGGCGCCAGGCAATCGGTTCCCGCTGCGAAGAGCGAGGACGGTTCCGCGCTCTCATGCTCGTTGTCAATGCTTCCCTTGCCAGTTCGAGCATCATCATCAACCAGGTTGAAGAGAGTCCGGGGCCCTTCTGTCTTCCCTGCTCCACGGAAGTTCTCGATTTTGTTCTGGGTGCGGACTTCTGGAGCGAAGAGAGAGAGGCCAATTGAGACGGAGTCAGCAGCAGGGTGAGGAAGAGGAGGAGAGGAAGGATCCTGTGCTGGAACAGGGAAGGAGGAGACGAGAGGAGAGGCGGTGAGCTGATCCGAGAGAGTGCGGGAGACTGCGGAAGAGGAAGCATGGGCTGTCGGGCGCGAGTGGAGAAGGGAAGAAGAGTGAGCTGGTGGGTAGAGGACGCGGGAGGGTTGAGAGCACCATGCTGGGTGAGGAAGGGGAGAGGAGGAGGCGGAGGAGGAGGAGCAAGGAGCAGAAGGCGCGCCAAGGTTGTCGGACATGTCAGGGACGGCCCGTAGGCGCACCCACCCTTTCAATGTCATGCATATTATCGAAAATATGGGGGTACTAGTTCATGTGACCATCGGAGGGTGAAAAAATATGGATAGTGGGAGCGAGCAGGTAGAGGCGGAGAACG